ACATGAAACATGCCATCTCCACCATCCCCTTGATTATGTTTGCCTACTTGCATGGCCAAGCAAGTAAAAACTCCAAGAAGAAGAAAATGAAAAACCCTGTCAGTTGATGTCAAATTTTTAAATTTGGCAGAAATTTAAACTTTTGAACTAAACATGCAATTTTGAACCTTATATAATATACTAGGCCTTTAGGGCTTTGCGCCCATCTTCTTTTTCAACTTTTAATTGTGGCCTTATCTGTGAGCATCTTTTCTTTTCTTCAGTATAAATTAATTTTTTAATTTGCGGATTTCATAACATTTTTTCGCGCATTTTCAAATTCAAATAATTTAAGATAAAGTATTTTAAGATTACATATTTAAAGTCTGATTGGCCATAAACCTTCCCTGAGGCCATGTGAGGTCACACACAAAATTTGGGCCCGATTGGTTCAGCCGTTTTGACGTTTATTGGATACAAACAAACATACAGACAGACAAGCTAAATTTATTTATAGATTTGGTCATTTGTTCGGTGATTTGACAATTGCAAGATCCAGATCTATCATGATCAATCAAAAGTCAGGAGAAATCAGATTCATTGCTGAGCTCTTGAATTCAAAGTTATCAATAAGGAGGAATCGTCTAAGCTTCGCAATCAAAAGTTCTTTGTTTGAGGCCAGAACTTGTAGTTTAGAATAGCGCTAATCTAACAAGGCTTGATCCTGATATCCACATTGGTAGCTTGAAAATATTATAAAGAGATTTGATCGGTAAAACAACTTGTAATTTTTTTGTGATAATTAAAAATCTCTGAAATAAGAAAACTACTGTTATAATCAAGTTATAACTTTAAAAAGTCTAATGAGCATGATAAACACTAAACAGCAATTGTGCAGTGTAAACAGCACCATTTCACTAAATTAGTGATTCAATGAGGGTCTAGTAAAGTAATTTTCTTTGTAACAACATCAAATACTTTTAAGTATTTCCATAATGTTGTCTTCCATTTTATCCTGGTTATCACTGTAAGAGAATCCCAAATTACTGAACTTAACCTTTGTACGACTAAGGAAATGGTCAACTTTTTGATTCTTGGATTCTCACCCCAAAAGTTTTGACCTCTTTTCTTTAAAAGATATAAAGTTGTAATCTCTGTTTGTTAGTTTGTCAGGAACCCCTGGACCGATTTTCTAACATTTTGATTGAAACTTGGGAGAGAATTTTCTTAGCTTGGATTTGAGATTCTAAATTGAGTGGGTGGACTTTGACAGGAAATATTTGCTACAATCTAATTTACTACAAGGAGCGGGAAAACGATGGGACTAAAAATGACCCTGGGCCACGCTGGGCTCCCAATCTAGTTTTGTTGACCCATTTTAGATATTCTGATTCGATTGTTAGATGTTGCTGAAATGCTTCAAAATGATGCCTCTTATAACCAAAGCAGCACGTTGGCCGAGTTTCCAAGAAGCAGGGTAACCAGCTCGATTAGTCCTCAAAATCTTTCAATAAACTCGCAATGCTTTAGTAATCAATCAAACAACTATAGCAATGGTTCAACTAATCAGTCAGCTGCTACAAATCACCAAAATGCTACATTTCCAACCTCAACTAAACCATTGATTCAGTACCTAGGATCAACAAACTCTCAAGCAACAGAATACAGGGTTAGTGCTCCAAATATTTAAAAATAGGGTTTCCAATGTTTTACAGATCAATTTGGTTCCGTTAAAAGTCGTACCGAACCTTTCCTAAAGCTGTTAAAAATTATAAACCATCATCATTTTTTGGTAAATTTAGAACGAAACCTTTCTTAACCAATTTTTAAATAAGTATTCCCCATAGAAGCTACACCAAAGCTATGTGTGTCGTACTGAAAAAAGTCAAGCGTATGACAACACCAGGCCTGACTCGCCCTCAACTTCAGCGGCCCACTTAAACTTTTTCAGCATATCAATCTATGAGATATATTTATTAATTTCCTTAAAGGAACTTGAATATTAAAGTGAGCTTCCGTTCAACGATGGCAATGTTCGATTTACAACGGTACCCTTGAAACCTTAGTCTGATCAAAACAAGACATGTGTAAGTCACTTTCGTAGAGACACCGCAAATGAAAATAAACAATTTTGAAGAAATAAAAAATTAATGTCTAATTCATGCCTGATCAGACAAAGCTTTAATGAGAACGGTTGTAAATTTCCAAAAAGTTTAAATGGTTTAATCTTTCTAACAGTTTATGGAGAGGTTCCTTAAAGAGTTTAAGAAACGAAATTGATTCGGAAGAAATTAGAAACACTAATTACTGCTATTTTATCTATAAAATCAAACAATTAATTAAGAATAAAATTTTAATTCAGAAGAATTTTTCAGATATTAGAAAAGGATGCATCTGGAACAGACTCCCTTGGTAAATACTTTTAAAAGAACTGTAAGCGTAATTTCAAGTGGCGGAATATAAACATTCAGATCGTTTGAAATAAGAATATTCTAGATTTCCGGGAATAAAAGTAGCATTAAAGATGATCAATCAAAGGATTAAATCAGAAATCTCCCTCTTTAATTAGAAGCTCACTTGAAATTGTGCTTTCAGTCCATTTAATATTATTTATAAATACGCTGTTCATGATTTTTAAATTCCTCTTTTTACAGAGTTCGACTCTTTGCTGAATGATTTGAGATCTTCACATAGTGAAACTGAGGCAATCCACACAAGATCTTATCCACAGTTCAATTCAATTTAATTCAATTCAATTCAATTCAATTCAATACAATTCAATACAATTCAATACAATTCAATTCAATTCAATTTAAAGGATTTGAGTTTAATAACGACCGAAAAATCTTGAATTGTGACGTAATGAAGAATACTGCTGTCTTGAACAAAGTCTTTTTAAAGTATATTAAATAACCTGGAAAGAAAAAACTAAACTTTACAGGAACAAGACTAGATGAAGTCTCATCCTTTGTGGGTAACCCTGTATATAATTCTTTGTTGATGAAATACTTTTGAGAACTAAAGGGGATGGTGGAGTTGGCACATT